TTATAATATGCCTAGAAATCTTAGTGCCATGGACTTTCACAGGTCATCGACACATTTTTTCTAGATTTCTATGGCAACCAGCACGTTGCTTCAATGTCCAAAAGCATTTTGGTGTATTGTTGGTTCTGCAGTGCTGTATTTTACATTTAGGGTTGAATTAAGCAAATGTTAGAATGCTATGATTGATTTGCTCTAGGTTTACAAATGTTAGGGTTTTATTTCGTAAAGTTTATCAATGTCAGTTTGTATTCCGCAAAGTTTGCTAATTTCAGGATTAATTGTGCATAAATGTTCGAACAATTAATTTGGTCTTCTTCATCCTCAATACATGTACACATCTCAATTTCAAACCAATTCAGCAAAACTAGAAGACTTCCAACTCATGTTACATTATAACACTTATGGTGCGTTTAATTGCGAGCATGAAATTTACCTGAAAAGAAAAAAATTCTAGACAATTTAATTGTCGAAAACTTATTTGCGTGAAAATTATTAATTAAATGTGTTTAATTTAGTTTTCAATTTAGAAAATATTATACTTGTCTTTTTTTTATTGGTAAGTAGTTGAGAGAGAGGAGATAAATGAGAGAAAAAGAGAGTGAATTACCTAGAAAATAAAATTACAGCTCTCTAAAGAATATGTTTTCCTTATTTTTGAGAATAATATGATTAAATGAACAAAAGTTCGAAAATATTTTCCAAGGAAAAAATTGTCAATCAAACATTCTAAGGGTCTGTTTGATAGACAAAGATGGAAATAAATTCAAATTTCATGTTAGTTGGAAAATAAAAACTCACTAAACCCATAGGAATTCGTTTTTCATGAAATCAAAGAAAATATAGCTTAAAGTGGTTGTGCATTGAAATTCGATTTTCATTTCCATACTACAGTCAAACAACTAAAGTGAAATTTGTTTTTCTCAGATGTGACATTTTTCATGGAATTCATTGCAATCAAATGAACCCTAAAAATCGGATTTTAGATGGAAAAAATGATATTTTTTATGAAAAATAAAGTCAATCAAATATTTTTAATGGTACAATACGGCGTGAAACATCGATATATTAGATCAATATGATAATGACAACAATACCATCTAAATAATTTACATCTAATTCGCAGGAAGACGAATTAATAGCCTAATTTTCAGCATTCTCTACCCATATTTCAACAAAATCACAAAATAAACAAAAAAAAATAAATAATAAATTTAAACTCAAAAGCACTCTTCAGTCTCCGCAATTTCAAGATTTGTTCGTATGTATTCTCTCATGTCCCAATTGTCTCTCAATTTTACATATTTATATAGACAATTTCAACATTTTGACGCCTTTAAGTGGCAATTGTGAATTGATGAGACGAAAAAGTCTTTAGGTATTTTATTGATTTTGGCCTTCACAATACATTTTAATAGAGAATGTAACAAAAATTAACAATAAGATTGTATTACTCGAAATTTGGTTGATCAATTGAAGTTTTGTGTCAAAATGAAATGTTAGACAGAATTGTGCAAAATTACTAAAGGTTAGGGTGATATTTCATCAATTACACAAATTTGATTCCAAACAACATTAACATTTGATTATTTCTAACATCTCAATAACCAGATTTCTTGAATAAAGAAAAAAAAATGGCTAGTCAAGCTTGAACAATCTAATGCCATACATAACTTCTTTCCATTTAGAAATGTGACTAGTTATTAATTCCAACGAAGGTAGTCATAACAATTACTGAAGTATGAACAACTTATAAAAAAAAATTGTCCATCCCATTATTTCTAGGGGTGGCAACCGAGCCAAGCGACTCGTCTCCTCGTAAAAAATGAGCCACGAGCCCAAAGGCGAGCGGCTCGTGGGCTCGTCTAAAATCGCTTTTTTTTTTAAAAAATGTTTTATCTTATATATATAAAAAAAAATTGACGAGCTCGCGAGCCGGAGCTCGGCTCGGCCCACGAGCCACGAGCTCACTGGCCAAGCCGAGCTCGTGTGTTGAGTAACGAGCCGGGCTTGTGTGTGTATGGGCAGTGCCGGCTCAGCTCGGCCCATTGCAGCCTCTAATTATTTTCAAAATATTTTTCTCTCTTTCAAATACATATTTTTCAATAAAATAATATTACACATACATATTTTTTAATAAAATAATATTACACGAAAAATAAAATTTTTATTTCTATTTTTTAATCATACATTCTTCATCAATCTAATATTCCAAAATATATTATTCAATAAAAATTGGGCTCAGACAAGCTCGCTATCTGTTTTGTTACATAGGAACAATCATAATACCATAAAATTACGACGTATGTCCAATCCTACTATACTTAATGTTTGTGTACAATAAATCTATTACAATTTTTTCACAAGAAGTTAATGTATATTATTTGAATATTGCGTATCAACAAAAAATATTACTCACGGATGTAACATTCGACTATTTGATGAGTTTAAAAACGACTTTCATGCGCGAGTCATAGATTTAACATTGTCCTGCATGACACACTGCACTGAATTTCACCGATTTCTACAAAAGGACAAAAAATTATTATAAGGTCTACTTTAAATGTTTAGTTCATATATCAACACCTGCCAATAGATATGGACAGCCATACTATTGACCTGATGCATATCAAAGCTTTTGGTTACCTATTTAATGCCGACAGTGTACGTTTTATGCTGGTCTGGAGGAAGAATTCCTCGAGGCTTGAAAATTATTATCAGCATGCATGTGATTTTGTGACCGTGCAGTTTAATCTTATGTGATATATTTCGGTTACATTCACTAGCACCATCATTGCTTTAGTAAATGGCTACTTAAATTATAATTTTAAAAAAGTTACTTTTTTCCCTGTAATCAACACTGTCATGAAATTAACAAGATAATTGGTAAGATAAAATAAACAAACACAAGAACACCAAGAGATACGTGAAAAATCAAAACGGGAAAAAATCATGAGTAGTGGCAAAATATTTCATTATAATCAATAATAAAT